TTAATAATATACATAAAGATATTACTCGACTGTGATTGGTTGATTTCAGTGCAGTTAATCCCAAACAGCAGTGCAATTTTCTGTAATTACAGTGCAATTTTCTGTAATCACAGTGCAATTTTTGTAATCACAGTGCAATTTTTTGTAATCACAGTGCAAAAATCTGTAACAAACTGATCTGATTGGTGGAAAAACATTGTGATGATTAAATCAACCAATCAGTTTAAAGCAATTTAGTTTAAAGAAGTAACGGTCACAGATTGCTTCAAAACAAAACAAACATGGCGTCGCGCTACACAAAGTAAAAGTTGCCTTCGCGTGGAAAATATGGCTTTTATCTTTATTTTTAAATGGAAAAGCATTTACCTTAAACAAGACTAACAAAAAATACACAGTTAAGTGGAATTTCCAAGCTGTTAGCGTTGTATAATGTGATATAACAAAGCCAGGAAAACTTTGCCAGTGGAATGTTCGCTATAAACGCGTAAGTTAAAACTACAATTGTCTCGAACATTTTTATGTGAATTATTAATAATAAGTAATAGCATAGTTTCTCGTGAAATTTGGATAAACATTTGAGGTCTTTTAAAAAACTCACTCGTGCATGTTATATCCAAATTGCACTCGAAACCATGCTATTACCTATACTAATAGTTCGCGACAATTCAAAAAGGGTTGCTGACGCCATCCTAATTTTTTGCCGACGCCATCTCAAAATTCCAAAAGTGACGTCACACATATCTCAAAGTTTCGCAACCTGATATTCCTAAAAAAATACTTTATACATTTGCTTACGTCATCCTAAATATTTGCTGACGTCATGCCTATCCTAAAGTGGTATCACCTCTCAATGTTTCAAAAATAACGTCACAAATATCCCTAAAAATACTGACGTCATGTGGCGGGAAAATTTTACCAAACATACGCTGACACCTACTGACAGACACATTTAAAAAGTTGCTAACTGTGTAAACTACAAAATAAACTAAAACAAAGTAATTTTGAGAGAAACGCCAAAAAGAGTTCATGTTTTGAACACGCACTTTTCATCGCAAATACGTGACATAGGAAAAAATTGCCCCTTAATCTGTACAGTATAATATAATACAATACATCATAACAACATGGAACGTTTTCTTCTGAGTACACCAAAATACATCTCTCGTATACATGAAATAACATTCTGAATCTCACAGATAAATAAAATAATATTAAAATTTACATCTATGGTATGAAGTAGACAACTTTCATTCCCTCGACAGCCTTGTCCACATTACAAATTAACGCTCCGGCAAAAAATATCGATTTATTTTTTATTAGTTTCGATATAAATTTTTTTTCCCGATATCGATGTTTTCAGAAATTGACCACAGAATTGAAATTTTTATGTTCAAATAAGTCTATACAAAAAAATTCACGTTCTTTGGGACAGGACGCAAGTTACAACGTTTTCCCTAGCCAACGACGCGGTGCGCCGTTCCGGGCGTTAGTCCAGCGCGAGGGTATTAATTCCGCCCAGCTATTTACACCCGAGGAAAGGGAAGCATTAGCGAAGTCTAAAGTTCATCAATGATCGCGGGCGTGGGTGACCAACCGGGGGTGGTCATCGTCACTGATCTCAAAAACATGGCTGTTTGCCAGGAGTGGGATAAGCAAGATTTCAATTTTCAAAAGCATATATTTGGAAAACCACGTTTCACACAATGAGCTTTGAAGCAATGTCACTACTCACGCTCGGCTCTTTGGTGTTTGAATGTTTAACATCACGCCTCTGTTCTTTCTCTGCAGATTATTGGCATGTCAACTGACGTCTAAATCTCTTTCCGTTCAGCTTCAAAACAGGGATAAAAAAATATTTTCTGGGACCACTGGAAAATATGAATTTGTTCTGTGAGAAATGGGCAGTTCATAATTGTACTTAACTGTTGAACTGTATTATTGTGACAAGGTGTCAAACACTATATTCTGGTGGAATAAACGTTTATAGAATAGAAACAAATTAAAGTACTGCTGAAATTGTGTCCACGTTAGCTTACACTCATATTTGGGCAATATTATATCCACTATTTATTATCTATTTTTAACAAGCTGGGACATATTTTGACTAATTATTATCTATTTTTAAACGATATTATTACTATTTTTGAACTATTTATTGACTATTTTAAACTTTGTTGAAACTGATCATTTCAGCTATTTATTACATATTTTTTACCTATATTGTCACTATGTTTTAACTATTTCATATATATTTATTAACTATGTCGAAACTATATATTTTTAATAATTCCCTATAAATAGCCCAATATTTTTATTATATTTGAAACGCATTTAATTTCTATTCGAGTACATCAATTAACTATTTGTTTAGATATATATCATGAATAGGAAAAAAATATGGTTCCATTTGGATAGGAATAAAATAGCTTTTCTACCTAATTTAAATAGGAAAAACCTCGAGAAAAAAATAATAGTAAAAATAGTATAAATATTTTGACAAATAGAAATTAAATAGCCCAACAAAATAGGAAATAAATACACTAGCAATTAAATAGTGTTTGATTCTACCACCTGTAGACATTACTATATAGCCTATTTGGTTGTCTTTTCAAATCCTGGACCAAATATTTGCGAAGAGAATGGCAACCCTCAACACGCAAATACGCGAGTTCGTTCGAGCTTGACGACCTATACGAAAACAGACCTATTCAGACTTCGTGGTGTTTGCAACAAAAGTATTTTGTCTAACTCTGTTCTTGTGAACCTGAAACTGGGGTATTCTTCATTATCGAAGAAAACAGGCTGGCGGCAGAGGAAGAATCAAAACTATTATAACAAACAGAGCGTATTTCTGTCTACAAATCGAGAAATTATTTTTGAATCCTCTATTTAAAAAATTGAATGTATTAAAATTTCCAGATATTGTTTATGTATACATAGCACTTTTTGTACATCAGTATAGTAATGGCAAACTTCCTGAGGCCTTTGATGACTTCTTTAGCCTAATACAAAATCAGCATAATTATAATACTCGACTTGCTTCAAGATCAACCTACTCTCTTCCTCCAGCTCGCACAAATTATGGCAAATTTAGAATCAGATTCAGAGGAACTCAAATTTGGAATGAAATTGACGAGTCTCTTAAAACACTTTCTAAATTTGCTTTCAAACGCAAACTAAAAGAACTGCTGATTGGTGCCTACTAAATCAGATCACGAAATACCTTGTTTATTTTTGTCTTTTTTGTTTTCTTCATGTTTTTGTTGTCTGTGTAATTAAGTTTATTAAGCGTTTCCATATTGATTACTGTCTTACTCTCCTAATCATAGTTTTTCTTGTGTCTCTTTAAAGGCCACCTGTCTCGATTAGCCCTTATGGTTATTACAGGTGGCCTTCACTCTCATTTGTAATTTTTTATCTATAACAGAATGTATTTGTATATTTTTGAGTGTAAAAATAAACTATTGTTGTTGTTGTTGTTGACATTATTCAAATCTTGTTCAGGTTCCGTATTGGTTGCTAATAGAGCACTTAACGAAGTGTTGCCTATTAAACGCTCAGTCTCTTAGGAACAAGTGCGCTAACTTTGTTGACTATGTTCATGAACACAAAGTGGATATCGCAGTTGTTACTGAAACCTGGTGGTAAGTTGTTACTGAAACCTGGTTTAAACCTGTTGATTCTACTGTAAAAATCGATACGACTCCAACTGGTTATCGACTTCTAGATCATTCACGCACTGACACTGAACTGGCGGGGGAACCGGTGTTTTGGTACATGATAGTCATAGTCTACAAATTGAAAAGCTTCAAGCGGGAAATCTATAGTTTCATTTGAATATTCAGAATGGAACATTGTATCTGACTCATTTCGGCTTCGTCTTGTTATGATCTACAGGCCTCCATATACACCTAGTCATGCAATAACTGTTAGTGTTTTCTTAACAGAATTTGCTGAGTACTTGGAATCCAGTGGAGCAGTCAGCTCGATAATTGGGGGGGGGCGAATATTCATATATTTGTGTTCACAGTCCATAAAAACAATCGATTTCAAAAGAAGTTTATAATGCAGAACACGAAGATATGAATATTCGCCACCCCCCAATTATCGAGCTGGCGGCGCCACTAATAGATCAGTTGTCATGGCCACTGAGTATCTTCTGATAGCTGGAGATTTTAACTTTCATGTGAATATACCTATACGGATATGGAGGGTGTAAAGTTTTTAGATCTTTTGCACTCAATGGGTCTATGTCAGCATGTCAAGTTACTTTTCCCACTCATGCATCTGGCAACACACTTGACTTAATTATTTTTCGCGAGACTGACCTTGTTTTTGGTCAACCACCAGTACCAAGTCACTATTTTTCTGATCATAGCTTGATTTTGTTTGATCTGATTACAACTAAGCCGCTGCTTTCAAGAGAACAAATCATTTCGAGTAACTGTAAAGACCATTGACATGCCCGCGCTTATGAATGATATTTCGACTTCCTGACTGTGTTTAAACCCTCCAAATGATATTGATGGGCTAGTTGGATAATACAATGCAACACTGCAGGGGCGTAGGAAGCGGGGGGGCACGGGGGGCACGTGCCCCCCCAATTTTTTTTAAAGGACTAAAAGTGCCGTTTTTTGTGATAAAAAGTGCCCTTTTTGTGTTGAAAAGTGCCCTTTTTTGTGAAGAAAAGTGCCCCTTTTGTAGAAGCTAATGTCGCTGTAAATACTAAATTAAAACAATAGGTGCCGTTTTTGTGTGGAAATTTACAATTTTTTTTTAAAAATTAGGTCACAAACATAAATTTCGGTATGATACGACGGAAAATTTTCCTCAGGAGAAATTTCTCTCCTCCTCCCCCCCCTCCCCCCCCCGTCGACAACATTTCCGGGAAAAATTTTTTAGGTGCCCTTTCCGATAGTAATGTGCCCCTACAAGCCGGTGCCCCCCCAAACTCCAGGTGCTTCCTACGCCCCTGCAACACTGTCAAGTCTATTGAATATATCGTTATGCTCCAATTAATTAAGACCAGGTTTGTCACCATTAGGGAAAAAGTGCCATGGTACACGGAAGAGGTTTGTGCTGTGAAGAGGGGACGTGGGCGCGCGCAGAGAAAGCGGAAGACGTCGAGAAGTGTTGCAGATTTTAATCAGTTCAAGGCGTTAAAGAATCGTGTCACGTTTCTGCTAAATGAATCAAGGTCGTCTTATCGCTCTGAATTTATTGACAAAAACGCTGACAGCCAAAGTAAGCTTTTCAAGGCTGTTAAAATCTCCTGGTAAGGAAGGATTCGCTTTCATTCCCGGACTACGTAGATAAAACAGTGCTGGCAAAGGATATTGGTAAATTTTTCGTAGAAAATATTTCGCGCATACGTAATGAATTAGATAATGTGGTTGCCACAATGGAATTGCGGGAAAATAAAACAACACCTGGCTTCTCATTATTTTCTGAGACCTCTGGAAAATATTTTTCAGTGCGGAGCTCCCGGCCGGTAAATAACATATATATGTTTTATAAAGTTTCTTTTCTCCTCATACTAAATTGGTAATACATGTACAATTGGTAATCTATGCCGGACTTTTGCTTTGGTAATAATACATTTTTTTTAATACATTCGTTTTAATGAGAATTAGTTTCACACATTAATACAAATGCCCTACACTTGTATATAGCATGTTTTCCAAATATAATTTACATTGCATGGGTTTTACTTTATCCATTACTGAGTTAAAAATTTACAGGTTTCTCACTTTGAGGTTTTCGTATATGAATCTGGCTTTCGTAGTTTCTGGTAAGCACCATCCATTGTATCTGTGCGATTGAGTCTGTTCTTATTAAGTTCAGTATAACCAGGATATTGGGGCAATATTTTGGGTTCTTCGTACGCTTCGTTTTCGTCTACGTATTTATTTGGTGTTTCGTACTCTGGTTCAACGGAAACCGGTATTACGTATGCTGGCTCCTGTTTTAATAGTTCCTGATAATTATCATCGTCGGTCGTCCTCCTTCTCAAAGCCTCTAGTTCAGTGTACCCATTGATTTTATGTGTATTTGGGTCCTGAACACTTTGTTGTACTCCTACTTCTTCGTAAAGTGATGTTCTGCCTTCAAGAAAAAAATATAAACCTTTACATTATGGACTGTGCATTATTTATGCTTTTGAAGAGGAATTGAAAAATTGTAATCTTTTTGGTTTTCCAAATTGTTTTGGGGGTCCAAATATTTTAAGCTAGCTGTTCAATGTAGCAAGTTATTTCGTCATTCATTATAAAATAAGTGATGGTCAAGATTGGGACCTTCAATGCATCATGGTTAGATGTGCATCGGATGTTCGGGAAAATTCATGTGCTTTGGATATACATACAATGGAAAGCTGAATATGGAGAAATGCATTGAGCACACTCTGCAGGCTATACCATATTACAGTTTCCTAATAAGTATATATAAAACCATTTGGACATGTTTATGATATCATGGTGACAAGAGCCATCTGTGAGGCTGAATGATGATCAGAGTGACCACAGAGTGGTGAGAAGCGAAATGTGTCTTATAAAAAGACGAATGAGGCCACCACCGAAATTCCAAGCCCCTGCTATCACAATAAGAGCAGAAGGTATTAGTGACAATGTAATGAAAGAAAAAGAAATCTATCCTGGAAGCAGGCTTTCCTGGCGACACAGGAGACATGGATATCGAAAGTGACTTGAAACTGTTCAGAGATGCCATCTACTCTGTAAGTACTGATGTTCAGGTTTTGTAAATGCAAATATCCGCACCGAGTTCCAAAGCAACTTGAAGTGATGGATAAACGTATTCGATACACTTCCAATTAAGCCGTACAAATTAGTTCAGTTGATTAGTTCAGTTGATTAGTTCAGTTCAGTTGATCGCATAGTCACACGTAGGCTTCGTTATTTGAGCACAAATAATAACTACAATACAAACACATTCATTACGATCTATGTTCAAACTTGGCATGCTCAATTAAAACATCAGAATTTGTCGTTAAGTAATATCACGTTTCATCCGCCATGAAAGATTGCGCCATCTTGGAAGCAGTCGCTCGCAAACTCGATGCATTCCAATCATTCAATGCGAGAGGTGACGTGCCAGGCTCAACGTGGACAACCTATCGTCGTCACATTAAGCTTCTGGAACAGATACAACAGCGCTGCTTATTGCTTAAAGTGTCTAATGTCAACGTCCTGGAATCTTATGGCGTTCGCAGTGTGGAATGCCAGATAAGGAAAGCATAGTTACACTGGGTTGGACACGTGTTTACTTGAATGAACGATACCAAAATTCCGAAAGTGGCGTTATATTATCAACTAACGAGTGGCAAGAGGCAAGTTGGAAGGCGACGTATGAAGTACAACACTTACCACCTGGAAGAAAGTTGCTCGATTAAGGACGCGCAATGATCATTCTGTGATCATTCTGAGAACAATTATAATGTATCTTTACGGTAAAACCCCACATGTTTATCAATTTATTCACTGTCAAACGATATTGTGAATTGCTTTTCCTTTGTTTTTCGCTAGTAAAATTCAGCAACTCTACAGTGAAAAGCGTAATAGGTTAGTGAAAGTGGGGTTAGGGGAATTTTTTGACATCACTGACCTTCAGTGGATGTTGGGAGAATGTCATCGTAAAACTCTCGATCAATTATGGTGATGTTTTCATAATCTGGTCCCTGTTTCAATAATAATGACAATGTGATCATGATTTATTTAAAGTTAAGTTACGTAGGGTGTGGTCTGGAATCTACCCAAGCTAGAGGCTCGTTATGTACCTGCTTGTTAACAAAGCCTTAAACGTTAGTGTTCTATGGGGGGGGACCTTACAGGAGAATTCGATCACAAAATAGATTAACTTTATTCATAAACTGGAAATCCGACCACTTCTAAACCGTTCTCCCTAGAGGTACCTTTAAAGGCACAGTTCAGCCTGTTGAACGATGGTTTTTAAGGCGCATTTCAGCTCTTTTAATTGAAAAAAACTAACTAGGAAAATCAATTAAGCATAATTCAAGATCACCAAACTCAATGTTTTTAACATTTTAAAACATTTTTATTGTTAAAAACATCGAGTTTACTGATTTTGAATTATACTTAATTGATTTTCCTAGTTAGTTTTTTCAATTAAAAAGGCTAAAATGCGCCTAAAAACCATCGTTCAAAAGGCTGAACTGTGCCTTTAAGTAAGACAATACCTAGACTTGCTATAAGTCTCACATGAATTGGATTTTTTTTTAATATCGTTTGCCTAGCCTGTTATGAGATCAGTCTCATTTTCGATTGGTTCTATCCATGCAGTCTATTATGAGATCTCATAACAGAGTGGATAGACCGTATAAAAAATGAAGCCAATTTGAGTGAGACATGGAGAAAGTTTAAGCAATAACTTATATACTGATCCAGTTTTACTACAAAAGGAACTGAAGCCTATTAAACTTAACCAACTTTATTTATACAGGAAAGCTTTATCACTTCTAAATCTTTCTCTCTGGAGGTCCAGTAAGGCTTATTTGTTATTCAGCCAGGGTGTTATTACAGGAGGAAATCTATATAAACTAAAGTAGTTACCCTGGATAGCTCTATCAGTTCTAAACTGCTCTATCTAGGGACAGTAAAGGCCACTCTCATTAGGTCCCTGGCTCTTTCTAGTTTGATGAACGATCTCAACGTTGCTGGTGACGCAAGCCTTTGGAAATACGTTGACGACTCAACCATGTGTGAAGCTGTCAACAAAGATCAATCTAGTGCAATGCAAACTTATGTTAACGTATTCGCCGCGAAGTCCGGAATCGATGGTATGCATCTAAAAGAATCCAAGTGTAAAGAACTTAGCATTAGCTTTTCAACTACAAATGTCGAATTTGAACCTATTATCATCAACAACAAAGAAATTGAAGTGGTCCCGTCTGCAACACTGTTAGGCCTATCCATATCCAACGATTTTAAATGGAACACACATGTCGAGAACGTATGCAAAAAAGTCTCATCCCGCTTATACTTTTTGAGACAATTGAAACGAACCAAATTACCATAAAAACCTCCTTTTGTTTTTTGTCACTTGCATTCGGTCGGTGGCTGAATACGCGTGTGCAGTGTTCCATGACTCTCTTCCTAAATACCTGTCCGATGACCTCGAGAAACTACAAAGAAGGGCATGCAGAATAATTCTTCCTGGACACTCCTACGAAAATGCACTTAACGAGCTAAGTCTTACGTCTCTGGCCGAACGAAGACAAAACCTCACAAACAAATTTTTTAAAACTATTGTTACAGTGAAAATACAAAAAGTGTCCCACTTCCGCTTCTGTAGTTTGTTGTGATTTACTGTAATTTGTTCTGTTTTTCTGTAGCGATTACCGATTTATCGACAAATACCGCGATAAAACTTAGTTTTTTTCTATTTTTAAATATGATAATTTGTAGCAAAGGGAAATAATACATTTTTCGTTAGTTTCATTGCACAAAAGGAACGGAATCTAAATTGTATCGCAGTATTTGCCGATAAATCGGTAATCGCTACAGAAAAACAGAACAAATTACAGTAAATCACAACAAACTACAGAAGCGGAAGTGGGACACTTTTTGTATTTTCACTGTAATGATCCTCAAAACAAACTATATCACCTATTACACACACTAAACCACTCAGGTATCTCTAAGAGTAAAAAGAAAGTTTTTAGTTCCTAATTTTAAGACAATTAGATGTAAAAACGATTTGATTAACCGTAATTCCAGTAAATATACAGAATATACGTAAAATATTTAATGTGTTTTAATGCACGTAAATACATGGCTTAGAGCTAAATATTTTTATTAACCTTTTTTTAATGTATTGTTGTAAAACTTAACGTTATACAGCCAAAGGTATTACCAAGGCTGCGAGTTTAAGTATCAAATCATCTATCTATCTACCTATCTACCTATCTATCTGTCTGTCTGTCTGTCTGTCCGTCCGTCCGTCTGTCTGTCTGTCTGTCTGTCTGTTTGTCCGTCCGTCCGTCCGTCCGTCCGTCCGTCCGTCCGTCCGTCCGTCCGTCCGTCCGTCCATTCATCCATCCATCTATCTATCTATCTAGTCTAGTAGAAAATTATCTAAACATTATACTATCTATTCTGGATATCAGTTGCGAACTGTGGTCCAGTAAAGGCCAATCCTATTGGTTCAGTACTTGTTACCACAGGAGAAAACTTAAACTAAACCATATATTGGATAGCTCTATTAGTTCAAAACTACTGTTCCTGGAAGCCTATATATGTAACAACCATTCAGCAACAACGTATCATGACCATGAATAATTTACCTGATCAATTTGCAATGATTCTGGTGCAGTTTCAACTGCCTCATGTACAGGCGTTGATAACATTGGAGCCATTTTCCGCCGTTTGTATTTTAACAATAAGATGATAAGCATGATGCTAAAAAATACTCCAGCCCCCACTGTCGTCGCTATGACAATGATTCTGCTTGAATGATCTGTTTTTACTTTAACTGAGTAAAGATAAGAAGAATTCTAAAGATAAGAAGAATCAAAAGCTACTTCCCCTTTTATCGCCAAGAGGATTTGTTCATTTTCGTGTTAAGACTAAAACATATGGCAGCAAATTTATTCCAACAATTACTGTTAGAAATGATTATAATTGTAATAATTATTATTATTATTATAGTTATAATTATAAATAGATTGAATTATTTAAGTTATTTAATTAAGCCTGTTACTGAAGGTTGATCGTATGGTATTATCAATCCACCACTTCAGCGGTAAAACGCACGTGTAAATTCCAAGGGTGTCACGTGGTACAAAATGTAAACATTGCGGACATTCGCTCTGTTGTGTAATAGGAGTTAATATGGCGCTCACTATCGTTCGTGATTTGAATTGCAAATTTATATTGTAATTATTGTATATTTCGGTGTTGTTATACTACAAGTATAAAGAAAAATGTCTAAAGATTCTATATCAGATATTAACGGCGTTGTAGTTCCTAAAAATCAATTGCTTTGAAACGACGGCGGTCCATAGTAATTTTAATGATTATAGTGATTTAATATGTTTGCGACGAAGAGATGCGCTTGGGGAACATTTAAAAATGATTTTTGCTACCCACAATCGATGGCTAAGAATAAGATTGGCCATCCTGTATATTTCTATTGCTTCTCAGCACCAAAAAGATCGCAAGAGAAGCGGTCGGGCTGGATAATAGCCTGTCATCGAGGTGATAACTTTAATACTTGTTCTATAATGGACAGCTATATTATTTTGCAGTTTGCAATAATTTTGTGGGCCACTTGGTGAAACGTCACCGAGTCCCACCAAAGATAAAATTGTCCACAACGATGACTGTGAGTCTTCCACAAAAGAAAATGCAAGACAGGTAATTATCTCAAATTTACCATATTAAATTGCAGAATAGAGTATATTTCTCATCACATTGCATAATGTAGTTTTCTATAGGGCTAAGATTGGTAAAGTGTGAGTATTTTTAAGATGTGGGAAAGGGTTCAAAAGAACAAGAAATAATTCAATGAAATTGAACAAGAAATACATCAAAGTATGTACATATTTTAAAGCTTTGTAATGAACCAGGAAAGCCAAGGTACCATTAGCATGTGTGCAGACTCAACCCAAATTTTTTAAATTCCAACTTGTGTTCAAAATTACAAAATTCAGGTTGAGTTGATCTGCACACAGGCTGGGGTACAATAGAAAATTCAACTCAAGTTGGGATTTAAAAAATTTGGGTTGAGTCTGTACACAAGCTAATGGTAGGCTACCTTGGCTTTCTTGGTTCATTACAAAACTTTAAAATATGTTGTTTAATCAATTTCTTTAAATTATTTCAATTTCTTTGAATTATTTCCCTTTCCTCCTGGAAAAAAATTGAAACTAGAGTGTCTGAAATGCCATTTCCTGCACTTTTAGAAGAATATTTACAGAGTTCTAATGGTAACAAAATGTCATAAAATATCTCAAATTGTTTTGTCTAGAGGCATAACTGAAATAATGTCAATTAACTTTGTGGTTTATTATTGACCGTTGTTAAAAAGTGGGGAGGGGGGGCAAAGATATTTAAGGCCCCCAACGAAAAAGTCCTCCCATCCGCTTCCGACACCCCCAATATATATATATATACCTGTATAATGATAAGTTTTATCCTTATTTTCCACTAGTCGCATAAACAGATTTGGGTGAACCATTTTTGGGTTTTGTAGCAAATTGGTTGGTGTAATACAATATCATTTGCAGAAATTACTGGTAACTCTAGTAATAAAACTGAACGCAAATATAAACCAGGCGATATTCCATTGTCAGAGACAAAGTACTTAATTCTAAGATTTTGATGGCTATATATATGGGAAAAGATTGATTTTTGGTTACTGTTATAAAGAGGGGTATAGCGTAAATTCTGGAGACAGGGGGAGAGCCACCCCCCTCCCCCACTTTTCAAACAGAATTTTGTCTAAAATATAATTTTGTCTGTTTGACTACCTTTCATAATTTACCAACAAGGTACTTAAAAATACTCACACTTTACCAATCTTAGCCCTATAGAAAACTACATTATGCAATGTGATGAGAAATATACTCTATTCTGCAATTTAATATGGTAAATTTGAGATAATTACCTGTGTTGTATTTTCCTTTGTGGAAGACTCACATTCATCATTGTGTACAATTTTATCTTTGGTGGGACTCGGTGACGTTTCGCCAGGTGGCACACAAAATTATCCAAACTGCAAATATACAGTAGCTGTCCTTTATAGAACAAGTAAAGTTAAGCAAGCCTCGATGACAGGCTGTTGTCCAACGCGACCGCTTCTCTTGTGATCTTTTTGGTGCTGGGAAGCGATAGAAATATACAGGATGGCCATTCTTATACTTGGCCATCGAATGTGGGTAGCGAAAATATGTTACGTTTTTAAATGTTCCCCAAGCCCATCTCTTCGTCGCAACCATATTAAATCACTATAATCATTAAAATTACTATGGACCGCCGTCATTTCAAAGCAATTGATTTTTAGGAACTACAACGCCGTTAATATCTGATATAGAATCTTTAGACATTTTTCTTTATATTTGTAGTATAACAACACCGAAATATACAATAATTACAATATAAATTTGCAATTCAAATCAGTAACGAATTAACGATAGTGAGCGCCATATTAACTCCTATTACACAACAGAGCGAATGTCCGCAATGTTTACATTTTGTACCACGTGACACCCTTGAAATTTACACGTGCGTTTTACCGCTGAAGTGGTGGATTGATAAATATTCTAACTTGATCTGCTTGAATATTCATGTAATTTGTCGTCAAAATCATAATTATAACGTTGCTTGCTTTTGGTTGTGCAATACTTGAAGATCTTTAATTAAGAAACTCCTATTCTTCAAGTTCCCGCACAATGCTGTCCCTCCGCAAGAACGCTTAGCTCGTCAACAAGTTGTACGTGCGGGTTCTACCCACTGTACCCAGTCAGTATAAATAATCAAAACAGGCCAGGTTGGCATTAGCGAAGGAACATGTCATAAAACGTCGGCAAAATTGCAACGAGCTAACGTTATGTTATATGCTGTAATACCAGACACATTTAACAAACATAAATAAGTGTTATACATAAGTTTGGAAGGAAACAGAAATATGTTTTTTAAAGTAAAGCTCGCATGATGCATTATTTGTATGTTTTTCTTCAAATTAAATCAATTGAAAGCATTTTTTTAAACCAGAGGCCGCATAATAAAAATAGTTTGAACATTTTTTGAGAAAAAAGAGCATGGCTAGGAAGCATAAAATGCCAATGTTACTAGCATAACCGGAAGGGGATCACTAGCAATAGGGCCACAGCTCAGTTATGTTTGAGGCGCTTCCGCTACCTTATACTTTTCACTACACACAAGAAGCAACACCACATCCCAAACATTATACAACTGAAATTCACCGTACAAACCTCTTCGCTTTACTAAAATCCAACTCAAAGCCATTTACTCGTTTAGTTACTTGCCTTTTGAGCCAGGTATATTTTGAGATGGTGATATCACTGATTTGCTATATACAGAGACTGTAAATTCGAGAGATGGTGTTGGAGAGAGGTAAATCGTCGTGGTTACAGAAGGACCCAAATTTGATGATGCAATAGTATTGTTGGGAGCTAAATAATATTTTCAATAATACATGTCTAAAAAATTTACGAATGTCATTGTTCTATCTTTATCCCATGTTTACGCAAATTTGTGCACGGTGAAGAGTCACGACGATGACTTTGTCAATCATCCAATAGCATTGCAGTAATCAGCAAAATTTTACGTGAAACCCTCTCAACATAAAATGATAGCTCTCTTTGAACTTTGCCGAGTTTCCAATCCTGCCAATACCGTTAGTTGAAAAATATCCGGCCGGATGTTCTACATATATGGTTCGGGCCTCATTTACGTTTAAATAATAATTTTAAATGGTTAAAAAACGAAGGTGTTTATAATATTTTCACTCCTAATAATACTTCAAACCCGCATTTGCAAAGGAGCATTTATTTCCAATAGCGATATTTGCGATATTTCCAATATCCGACAGGATACCAGACATAATGATTGTCTCAGTTTCTGGCTGAACCATGGGCGGCGTTAAGGGGGAGGGGCAGTCGGCAAAACGGTGAATTACAGTCGGCAAATTGTTTTCGTAGTCGGCAAAACATGACTTTGATAGGGGGAAATGGAGTGAAACAGATTAAAAATTAATAATGAATAATTATACCTAAAACTTGGAGAAATGTACGAAAATATGAAGAAGAAAAGTAACATGAGAATACAATGTCCGAAGAATTTTTTTACCCTTACCCTCCAACCCCACCCCACTTGCCTTTAGAACCAGGTATAGTTTGAGATGGTGATATCGCAGGTTTGCTATGTACAAAGATTACTGATTCCAAAGATGACGTTGGAGAGGGGTAAGACGTCGTGAATACAGGAGGAGCCAAATTTGATGATGGAACGATATTTTTGAGAACTAAATAATATTTAAGTGAAATTAGCATGGCCGCAGTTTATGTTAGCCTAATCCTTCATCTTTACTAATCCTTACAATTCTTATTCGAATCTTTATCATAATCCTACCTCTAATTCTAACCATAAATCCATTTATATTCTTAATCTCTATTTTCGAATTAAAATAATAACGCCAATGCAAATCCTGGTTTTATTCCAATTTTAATCCTAATAGTAGTCTTAACTATAATCCTAGTCTTGTATGCAACTCTAATCCCATCTCTACTCCGTTTCCTAACCCTAATTCTAACGCTCAAATTCCAATTCTGCTCCTATTATTAACTGAAATCCTAATAATAACAACTGTAATCCCAATCCTAATTTTTCCCCTAATCTGGACTTTAATTATAACGCTAATTTCAATCCTAAA